GGCGTTCGCCTCTCTTTTCGGCCCTGTGGATGCTCTGGAGAGCATCAGCCGGAACGTTCATGCGCACCATTGTGGTGGCCCGGAAAGAGCCTGCTTAGTTCTTTTTTTTTTTTTAATTTTTATTTACATATGTGTAAGTGTCTAAATCGTAACTATATACTTTTATTAATGGACACATCAATGCTCCTTACACTCACATTCATCAAGATACAACACCCCCTTTGGGTCTTTTTGAGACAGGGTTTCACTGTGCAGATCAGGCTGGCCTTGAACTCATTTTGTAGCGCAGGCTGGTCTTGAACTTGCATCCATCCTTCTGCCTCAGCCTCCCAAGTGCTGGGATTAAGGGTTTGTGCTACCATGCTCAGCCAGGGTACGGGACATTTCCGTCACTCGAGGAAGTTTTTCCGCGGCCCTTGCTAGTCAGTTCCAGCTAACCCTTCTAGGAGCAGCCACTGTTCTGATTTGTTTTTATCATAAATTAGTTTTTCTGTTCTAGAACTTAGTTTTTTGGGGTTTTTTTAGTATTTCCTTTTTAAAAAATATTTATTTTTTTATTGAGAAATAAATATGAATGAGACAATTTCAAAGTTGATTAATAGGACAGTTTTGATAATCAATACACTGTACATTGTTATCTTCTTAGTGGTTATCCATAGTACAAGAAGCAGACAGGATATTCTGTCCAAACACTGTTAGTACACCTCTTTCTTCTCATTGAATTAAGTGAAAGTAGCTGTAAATTTATCCTATTTTGCATATATAAATAGAAAATGATCTTTCCTTTGTATCCCTTTTTTTTGGTCTTGTCAGAGGTGAATATTCTATTGGTATCTAAATACTATAGGTGTTTGAATTCAACTAAACAATCTAACACTGTCTAGCAGTCTATAATATTAGTGGGTTATCCTCAGAAGTTATTGACTTGAGCCTTTTACAGCTCATTGTATTAATATGGCTTCACTTTATATACTTCATTTTTATACTTTTCTGCTGGATGGTTAAGACCAAGATATAGCAAGACCTGTACACCAAGAAATGTAACTTTTGTATCTGATAAGGTCAGCCAGGTACTCTCAGGATTTATCCTGCAGCCCTGTACCGCCCTTTGTACATCCTTTTGTCAGTGTCTGACATGAGGATGAGTCACAGCCACTGCTTGACCAATTTGCTCTCTGTGCGAGCTTGAGAAAATGTTTTTTCTCTCCCTGTGACTCTCCCCAGAGCCTGGTTAGTTCTGAGGTTGATCTTTTTCACATGTTTCACCATTTGTATCTCTTCTGTCCTAGTTCCCTTTGCTCCCTACCCCCTTTAGTGTTGAATCCAGGTCCTTGCTCACGCTGAGCAAGGGATGTACCACTGAGCTAGCAACACCCAGTGGCATCTTCACCCATGTTTAACTTTAGGTTTTTGGTGTTTTTTTTTTTTTTTTTTTTTT